ATCGACATTTCCTTAGGTCTCGACAAAAGTGACTACTTTTGGTGTCCTGCCATCGTACCAAAGCTGCGTCTTCTTGTGTATGATTTTTCTGCGTCTTCTATGGTTGTCCCGTCTCTTAGTTCATGTTTTGAATGTATTGTAAGATTGGATATCAAATAGCATCATGTCAGACTCTGCAACTTTCCTTCAGTTATTTGTTTCAATTATATGTCATTGTGGCTGGTTTGTCAGAATCTATGGTTTGTTCGTTTTTCTGTTTCAATTATATGTCATTGTCTCCTTTGTTTGATATGGACAAGAATTTATGGCTAAAATGATGTAAAAATAGCGACGAATATTTTAAGCCGAATTTTGCGATCATTACAGTTCGTCGCTAATTTGCGACGAATACATTTTGCAATGAATTTTGCGATGAATTTTGCGACGAATTTTGCGACGGTTCGTCGCAAATTTGCGACGGATTGTATTCGTGGCTAATTTTGCGACGAAATTTGCGACGAAATTGCGACGAAATTTGCGAAGAATTTTGCGACGAATTTTGCGACGGATAGCGTTCGTCGCAAATTTGCGACGAAATATTTGCGACGAATTTTGCGATGGATTGTATTCGTGGCTAATTTGCGACTAATTTTGCGACGAATTTATTTTTGTCGCAATTTTACGACGAACTTTTAAATTTTCAGTCGCAAAATTTTGCGACGACCTAGTTCCGTCGCAAAATTTGTCGCAAATTCGATTTGCGACGGATTTTTTCAAATTTTCCGTCGCAAATTTCGTCACTAATCCGGTGTTTTTTTGTAGTGCATCTTCTTCGTCCAATACCTCGTTTACCTTTAGTAGATGTAGAGAACTCTCGGCTTTTAGACAATCCTGTTCGGACTCCATCTAGATATTGGCTTGTGCATCTATCAATTGGTTTTACACAACAAATACACGTATTAGTAGTTTTTGATTATTTTATCACCTTCAAAATAATAGGAGCTTTCCCAACACTTCCTTTGCCGGATAAGTAGTTATAAGCACCGACATTCGGTGTCGTACGATGGAAGATTATAAATACCTCAAATTACATCTTCAAATGGCCTGTATTTAACTTATGGTAGACCCAGTGACCAAGTCAAGCCATTATATTTTCAAATGCGACAGCGCATGATTCCAACGTAAACGCATATATATAAGTTTCGTATAGAACAAAAACTCTCTCGTTCCACCTTTTGACTTATCACTTCTGAGCGAATTTATCGACTACTTTCTGTATCCTCAAGAGAAAAACGCACGTAACCTTGTGGAATACTTTAGGACAAATGTCGCTGTCGTGGAATTTAATTGAAAATAAACATAAAATGCGTGTAGCGAGTGCATGCCAGACCAATTCAACAACATCTTGATTTTGTCCTGCAAAATAGAAAGCTTCTTTTCATTCTTTGTGGCAAGAGACTGGCGCAAGTTGCGAGTCAAAGTTCACTTAGGGAAAAACGTGCATTGAATAAACTCTGCAACATCCTCTACTTTGAATAGCAACCGAGGATAAGCGAGAGTTGTGCAACTTATTTGAACTAATTCACTGTCTAAACTACACTCATGCTGTTTCTAGAGCACGTTTATGTTCTCCTTAAACTAATTATATTAGAAAAGTCTAAAGTTGATTGATTCCTCTCTTCTTTGGCTCGAAGATGAGGAAGAGATGCAACCTAGAAGGAATTCATTGCTTGACCCAAAAATCAAAAAGAAGAGAAGAAAAGATCCACGACCCGATTTCGTCAGGACCCGAGAACTAGATTGGGCCTCTGTCGGGTGGTCCTTGAAATGAATTCGCTTCCCTTTCTTTTGTTTTTGGGGGTTATTAAGGTCCAATTACAGGATAATCCTTTCGGCCATTTGAAGGCCTCACCTAAAATTTTGTACGTGGAGGAAGTTTTGCCTTGAAAATGTGAGATTTTGGTGGGATCACTGCCAACTGTTCTAAAATCTTAAGTTGTTAGATGAATGCGTGGTTTAATATTTAATTACTTTAACACTCCCCCTCATGCTTAGTCTGGTCTCTTTGCTTAGTACTAAGCGTTAAACATATTTAATTGGCGCGGCAAATGGAGCCCGGAAAGATTTGAACTCGGAACCTCCTGTTCTGATATCATGTGAGATTTTGGTGGAACCACTGTCAACTATTCTAAAAACTTAAGCGGTTAGATGAAGGAGTGGTTTAATATTTAATTACTCTAACATAAAATAATGCAAATGGTTATTAGACCTGATCATGGGCTTGGGAATCCGTTGGGCCCACTCAGTCCAGGACCACTCGACCGAAGCACGTTTTGGGCAAACCTAGGGAAGAATATTCCTTCTTCGACTTCGGCCGACCTACTTAGGCTCGATTAGGCCCGATCATTTCATTGAGAAAATGTAACATTTTTTGTAACATGGTGGGCTTGGTCTAGGACTCCTCAGTTGTAGTGGAGGTTCCCTTCTCTCGATTAGGCGTCGAAACTTTATTTTTGTGGCTAATTCCGTGGTTAATGAGCCATGAATTTAGCCACGAAATGAATACGCGGCTAATTAGCCATGGATTTAGCCACGAAAATAAAATAAAGTCTGAAAAGGCATCGAAACTTTATTTTCGTGGCTAAATCGGTGGCTAATTAGCCACGAATTTAGCCACAAAAATAAAATAAAATCCGAACGGCGTCGAAACTTTATTTTCGTGGCTAAATCGGTGGCTAATTAGCCACGGATTTAGCCACGAAAATAAAATAAAGTCCGAAAAGGCATCGAAACTTTATTTTCGTGGCTAATGAGCCACGAATTTAGCCATGAAAAAATACGTGGCTAATTTAGCCACGTATTTAGCCACAAAAATAAAATAAAGTCCGAAAAGGCGTCGAAACTTTATTTTCGTGGCTAAATCGGTGGCTAATTAGCCACGAATTTAATCCGTAATTAATTAGCCACGAAAATAAAATAAAGTCCGTAAAGGCATCGAAACTTTATTTTCATGGCTAAATCGGTGGCTAATTAGCCACGGATTTAGCCACGAAAATAAAATAAAGTCGGCAAAAGTACACCACAAGTGCCATAACTTGTGTACGGCGATCACTTTGGTGCCATAACTTTATTTCGAATCACTTTGGTGCCAAGTCGAAGCAAAAGAGATCACTTTAGTGCCAATTTGGCCGGAAATCCGACGTGGCATTTTTTATTAATTTTTTACGTCGACGTGGCTGGCCGGAGGCTGAGTCGATTGCCAAGCATTTTTAATTTTAAATAATTTTTTAGCGTGTACAATAAGATTTCTAATTTTAAATATTTTTTTCATTTTTTTCTTCTTTCCTTTTTCTTTTCTTTTCTTTTTTTCTTTTCTCCCCGCCGGCCGGCCACCGACGAAGCCCGGAAGGGCCGGGCGAGGGCGGCCTTGCCCATGGCCGGCGAGGGGCGGTCGACCTCGCCGGCGACAGCTAGGCCGCCCTCGCCGCCCAGGAGGGGGCCGCCCTCGCCCGACGCCGGTGAGGGGTTGCCTCGCCGGCGACAGCGAGGCCGCCTCGCCGGCTTAGGCGAGGTGCCGCCTCGCCCGACGCCGGCGAGGGTTGCCCTCGCCGGATCTGGGCGAGGGCGACCTCGCCCGGGCGTCGGGCGAAGGAAGCCCTCGCCCGGACGCTGGACGCCGGCGAGGTTGCCCTCGCTGCATTTGGCGAGGGCAACCTCGCCCGCCCAGGCGAGGGGCTTCCCTCGCCCGACGGGCGAGGGTCGCCCTCGTCGGATCTCGGCGTCGGGCGACCTCACCGGCGTCGGGCGAGGGTCACCCACGCCCGACTCAGTGAGGGCCCTCGCCGGCGTCCGGGCGAGGGTCGCCCACGCCCAACTCAGGCGAGGGCGACCTCGCCCGACGCCGGTGAGGGAAGCCCTCGTCCGGGCGGGCGAGGTCGCCCTCGCCCGAGTCGGGCGAGGGTCGCCCTCGCCCGAGCCTCGGGCGTGGGCGACCCTTGCCCGACGCCGGCGAGGGTCGCCCTCGCCAGGATCCGACGAGGGCTACCCTCGCCCGCTGTCGGCGAGGGAAGCCCTCACCCGGGCAAGGCGAGGGTCGCCCTCGCGTGAGTCGGGCGTGGGCGACCTCGCCCGATGCCGGCGAGGGAAGCCTCGCCCGGGCGGGCGAGGGTCGCCCTCGCCCGAGTCGGGCGTGGGCGACCCTCGCCCGACGCCGGGCGAGGGTCGCCCTAGCCGATCCGGCGAGGGCGACCCTCGCCGGCTGCCGGCGAGGGCAGCCTCGCCGGGCCGGCGAGGGCGGCCGCCGCCTCGCCGGCCATGGGCAAGGCCGCCTCGCCCGGCCTCCTTCCCCGGGCTTCGCCGATGGCCGGCCTAGGCGAGGGAGAAAAGAAAAAAAAAGAAAAGAAAAGAAAAAGGAAAGAAGAAAAAAAAAGGAAAAAAATATTTAAAATTAAAAATGCTGACTGTATACGCTAAAAAAATTATTTAAAATTAAAAATGCTGACTGTACACGCTGACTCAGCCTCCGGAGCTACGCCGGCGTAAAAAATTAATAAAAATGCCACGTCGGATTTCCGGCCAAATTTGCACTAAAGTGATCTCTTTTGCTCCGACTTGGCACCAAAGTGATCCGAAAAAAAAGTTATGGCACCAAAGTGATCGCCGTACACAAGTTATGGCACTTGTAGTGTACTTTTGCCAAATAAAGTCCGAAATGGCGTCGAAACTTTATTTTCGTGGCTAAATACGTGGCTAATTAGCCACCAAAAAGGAACATAGTAGGGCAAGTGTCGCGAGGCTTTTTTTGTGGCTAGCCACAAATTTAATCCATGGCTAATTAGCCACGGTATTAATCACCTAAATAAAGTTTTGACGCTGTGACTGTGACTGACTTTATTTTATTTTTGTGGCTAATGAGTCACGAATTTAGCCACGAAAATTCGTGGCAAATATTTCCGCGCAATGCCGCCACGAAAATTCGTCAAAAAAGTCTTTGCGCGCAAAAGATAAAAATAAGAACCGGTTCTTAGAACAAGAGCCACTTTTGAGCAACATCACTCGCTTCCCCTCTTCAGAAACCCTAACAATCATCTTCGTCTTCATCGTCTTCTCTTGCAGTTGTCTACCCCCAAAATAACTACCCCAACATCACTCGCTCGGCTCATTCAAGCAATTGCTCTATTTTTCCCCACTTCCTATGGCTAGCTGGTGTTCGCTTCGCTACATCACCTCTAGCTTTTGAGGCCTTCGTCACTCCGGCGCGACTGCAGGCAGCTCTTGCTTCTCGTTCGATTTTTTTCGTCTCCTGTGACCCGCCAGCTCTCTCTCGGCTCTCAGTTCACTCTCCCGTCCGCCCCGTGAGTCTCGCACGATCGTATTTTGTCACTCGTCTCCTCACCCGAGCCCAACTAGGGCGGCCCTCGCGCAGATCGACGAGCATCCCTCCCGATCTGCGCGAGGGCCGCCCTAGTTGGGCTCGGGTGGGTGTCACCCTCGTGTTCGTGTGCTGTTATGCCCTCGTCTCTACCCTCAAGTTCTTTGTGCTATTCTGGGTTTGGAAGAAGGAGAGCTGCAAATCTTTTCATTGGTAGCCACGGATTTTTTTCTCTGTTGTTTCGATTCACTTGCTGTTGAGGTTATTAGTTATGTTCATTGGAATGTCTGTGCATAGGACGTATGTTTGATGAAATTCCTCAAAGAAATTTCACTTCGTAGTTAATCAGCAAAAACAAATCCATAATGGAACTAACCTTTGGAACAACATAAGGAGCGAAAGGACCCAAAATAGACTGCACTGCATCACAGTCATAGAATAAGTCCTTAGGACAGTGAAGTTTGTCATCCATGCTTGAAACAACCCATGGAACACCACAGATGCTATTTAGGAATGAAGATTTGAAGGGTATTCTATTCCCATTGTACTTATCGTTAAAGTAACCTACGTTTTTGTCACTGAAGCAATCATCCCACAATTTATCGAAAACCTCTAAGAGAAATTTACAACCAACACGATTTCCACTTGCTGACAACAAGGACAATAAACGGTCCAAATCAGTGGATTCCCAATCTTCAGCCCAACGCGCCATTCCCTACAAGTCCTGGCAGGGTTCAATGCGTGGAAAAGTTTTGTCATTTTGTTATTTCTCAATTTTTTTAGAAACAGATCACTATGTTGTTTATGATTGATACTAGTTGCCTAAGAAGCAAATAAAAATTTTAGAATGAGGACCAATATGTTAGGATTGGTACCTTTTGGCTGCTTGTCTTTCCATGTTGTTTTTAGACTTGTTCACCTTTGAAGATGAACTGCGATACCATCTTCGTTTGACCAACTTTACAACTGGAAAGGGAAAGGTAAATCTAGGAGACTCAAATGTCTATCCCCCGGAGGTTTTCATGTGCAGCATCGTTCGCAAAATGGGTTATGGTGATGGTTTCAAATGGGTTTCTCAATACATTAAGTAGCTTATTGATCCACAAGATGCAATACAGCTCCCCTAGAAAAAAAATATATGTTTTCAGCATTCACCGGCCTGTTGTTTTAGCGCTGGAGCTTTGCTTTAAACTGGACATATTTGTTGTGAATGTGTTCGGAAGGAGGAATCGTTGTTCTCTCTCTGTAAAATTTAGTTGTGGCAACAAGCTAGTCTCTCTGGTATTGTAGTTTGTTGATCGAAGTTCTCCCTGCCTTGCTTTATTTAGAACAGAGGTTTCTATTTTTTGATTGCCAAATATGCTCTCATTTATTTATATCTAGGTTTGAAAATTGAAATCAACAAAAAATAGGCAAGTATATCATGTCATGTAATATGCTCCCCTTTATTTTTCGTGGGATCTGATGTGGTCAAGATTTCAATAGGTTCCTTCGATGCCAGAGCTTGGTATTTATCAGAGGCGATAGCAAGTTTGTTTCATTTTCTCAAGTTTATCTCTTGCTCTCTGAAACAAAATGGTAAGCTTCATGACGTTCGTCATTTTGTGTCCCTAATACATGTTCATATTTTTTAATATATTTGTCTAACCTTCTTACTTGTCAGTATAAACGTGGAGGTCACATGCGTGGTGCGGTATCACAAAGAAGACCAGCCCCTTCCCCTTCCTCATCCTCGTCCCCGGTCCTTTCCTCTTCCCCTGCCCTTTCATCTAATCCTCAACCACTACATGTTGATGGACAACATGGACACATTGGCCCATCCTCCGAACCTCAAGAACATATTAGGGGACAACTTGGAGACATGTGAACTGAATTTACTTCAGTTCCATCTCCTTCGATTGCATCTCCTTCGGTTCTACCTTCTTCTTCAGTGCAACACTCGAATGATGAAGAAGATAGCCGATTCATGATATGGCCATGTGGAGATTCGTAAGTACTTCATTTTTTAACGTATATGTAAATTATGGATGTCAACTGAATTGTCCATGCTGCAAATTATCCGTATGCTTCATTGTTTCATTGTCCATATTATTATAACCTATTTGTAGATTCACAGATACTACCTATGTTGTGAGGGAACTTAATAAAATAGTCAATAACTGTTGGATGGGGCGGTATATTAGTTTCAGCAGCGCTCCAAAAGAAATAAAAAATTTGTGGTGGAATGAGTTCAAGGTAAGTTTTGTCATTCTATTTTCTCACAAACTAAGTTCGGTGTAGCATACTGATGGTCAAGAATGAATTCTGTCACGAATTATCTGGTGCATGGTAATGGATATGTGACCTGTGACCCTCATAATAACTTTCGGTTGTTTTTCTATTGATTGTAGCGGAAGTTCAGGTGGGATGAAATGGAAGAGAACGAAGTTAGAAGAATTTTTAAGAAGAAAACCGGTGATCACATGCGAAATGTGATGAATAAAGCAAAGAGAAATCAACGAAAGCCGGATTTTATTACAGCTGACAATTGGACGGAAATTACGACAACTTGGGAAACTGAGAAGCATAAGCAAATAAGTGAACAGAATAAGAAGAATCGAGCTTCTAGTTCTAGTGAAGGGTCTGCGTTTGCCACATATGTTGGGGGCTCTATCAACATCAGGGAGCATAGAAAAAGAATGGTAAGTTTGTTTAAACATGTTGTAAGTTAATCTAATTTAATGATTACTCATTTATGTTTATATTTTGTAGGCAGATGAATTGGGGACGCAACCGACATTTACAGCTACATTTGAATGCACATTTCAGAAAAAAGACAAAACATGGACTGGCGATCGAGCAAAAGCTATTAAGGTATGTAAGGTTATATTTTGGACTTTATGGAAACTATAATGAAAACCATGAATGCTTTTAATACTTATGGTAGTTATATATATGAATATTTTATTTTCACCTATATTGTTAATGTAGGAAAAATATGATAAACTTTTAATGAGCACTGCTAGTGGTGGTAATGGTGTTGCTGTGTCTGAGCCATCGGTTGACAGTATGGCATTATGGCTGGAGGCATCGGGTGGGATGAAAGGAGGAAAAATATTTGGGATGGGATCCTTGTCAAGGGCATACACAACGAAGGCTGCTGCAACTTCATCCTCCAATGCGGCTGTTTCAAGGAGGACACGACATAAGGAGCAAATGACTAAGAATTGAGCCAACTGAAAGATTTACTTGTACAAAAGGACGAAGAACTCAAAAATTTACTTGTACAGAAGGACGAAGAAATAAGAGGAATGAAACAACAAATGCAATTGATCTTACGACACCTCAACCTCGATCACGATGAGGTTCCTCCTGTACCTCCCACTAATCCAATAGGTGATGGGCACAATGATGAGCCACACAATGATAATGAGATTGCTGTTGCTGATGATGATGATTTTATTAGCAGTCCTTGCTGGTTCATTCTCTTTGGGGGTAAGCTTATGATGACCAACTTACAACAATTACTTTCTGTGCACAACTTTCTTACATGTCTGTACAATGCTTGCGAAAAATTGAAAATTTGACAAAAGTCACTGTTCTTTGTTCAGAAAATCATGATAGTTCAACATTGTAGAAATACATGCCTTATTTGATTTCAAATTTTGATCATATTTGCAGATGGGAGAAGCTAAGTTTCACATGTTGTACAATTGAACTGTGATTCCTTTTATTGCATGTTCTCAAGTGGACATGTTTCGAGTAAAGATGCTAATTTTTAAATGTTTTGAAGAGAATGATCTATCTTTTACATTTCTGAGTGACCACACAAATTCAGAAATTTGACTTTTGATATGTCATTCTTGTGGATGAGTTATATCCATTGTCAGTAACATAATATCTCAAAGTAAAACATGAGAAGCTTTACATGCTGAATAATCAATTCTTAAATTTGATACACTATTATTTGAAGTCAGTTTAGATTAGGGGAGCCTGGATACAAGGAAAGGTATTATGCAAAGAAATTTCATGCGTCAACTTCGGATGAGATAGAGAGTTAAAGAAGGAAACGGTACGTGTTTTTTTGTATCTTGAAGCTTTCAGTTTACTTTATTTAATATCAATATTATTTCTTGTAATTATTTTGATTTTATATTGTCTTGGTAACTTAGAATTTATATGTTTTGAAGTGTTCTGTACTTACTTCGCTTGATTTTAATTTCTGTAACATGGATGTAGTTAGTTTAGATGGTAGGGCAGTCTTAAGACTCTCAATGTCTTAATAGCATACCTTTACATTTAGATGTTTCCTTCAATTGCAAATCTGTGTGGATGTGGAAGTTCTGTATGAAGTGTTCCTTTTTATGGGGACTTACAACATAGAAGTTCTGGATTTTAATTTTTGCATTGCTGGGACTTACAGCTATTGGTGATTTGCACGAACTTACAGTTAGAATGCGGATGCCACCTTACTGGCTGAACAGCTCCCAGATTGGGATCTATGGGAAACCAGCCCCACAAGATTTCTCTGCAGATTACGAACACTGGAAACGAGTAGTGAGTGGCATGTACATGTCGGGGCTTGGAATTAGTTGGTCCGGCGTGAGAAATGTTATGGACATGAGAGCTGTCTATGGCGGGTATGATATGCTTATATTTTAATCTTCTTTAAGGTAAAATTGAGATGAATGTCTCATGAATGCTTTCTCCCGCTTCCTTGCAGATTTGCTGCTGCACTAAAGGATCTCCAGATGTGGGTGCTGAACGTGGTAAATGTTGACTCACCAGATACGCTTCCCACGATTGGTGCGAGTCCTTCAGCACGTACCCTAGAACCTATGATCTGCTGCATGCAGATCATCTCTTCTCCAAGCTTAGGAAGAGGTATGCAACTGGATCCCGTAGTCCCCACACTGTCTCTGTCTCTCTCTCTCGTGGTTCTTCTTAAACTCTACTTGAATTTGTCTGTTGAAGGTGCAAGCTTGCACCGGTAATGGCAGAAGTTGATCGAATCGTGAGACCTGGAGGTAAAATAATAGTCCATGATGAGTCCAATGCAATAGGGGAGATCGAGAACTTACTTAAATCACTGCATTGGGAGGTCCACTTAACATTCTCCAAAGACCAAGAAGGGATTCTCAGTGCACAGAAAGGTGATTGGCGGCCAAGCATATACACAGCTACTTCCTAATTATTAAGGCAAGTGCCCTTGATTTTGTGTTGCAAGCAGCAATAGGTACACTTTTTTAGCTATTGGTGAATATCTTTATTTATGTATCCACATTTCATCAGGTGTCGACAAAAGTGATTGTTTCTGGTGTCCTGCCGAGTACCAAAGCTGCCCACATTTTATGGTTGTCCCGCATCCTTTCAATGTATTAAATGATGTTCATTAATGCTTAGCTACCTCTATGAATTACAAGATTGGATATCCAATAGCATCATGTGAGACTTTGCAACTTTGCATATATCATTATCTTTTCCAGACTACCATCTACCTCTATGGTTGTCTTGTGTCTTTTGATTATTTTGAATGTATTACATGATGTTCATTAATGCGTACCTACCTCTATGGTCATACAAGATTTGATTGCCCAAACGGTGTTCTATGCTTGAAACATGTATGAACATCATTGTGGGGCGTAAATTCGGAAAATGTGCTGATTCGGAGGGCTGTTTATGTTGGAACTCCACTATTGTAGATTCTTTTCGGAGCTACAGTACCTCCATCATCACGCAGCAATTGATTCAAGCATAGGCCTTAATCAATGTTAAATATATATTTTAGCAATTAATTTTGCTGCTAATTAGATTTAAAATCGAAATCGTCCCTAAACAATATTCGTCGCAAACTTATTGACAAAAAAAAAAATTTCCTGGCAAATTAGCGACGAATTTTGCCACGAATAGATTTCGTCGCAATTTAGCGATAAAAAAAAAAGTGTCTTGGCAAATTAGCGACGACTTTTGCCACGAATACAGTTTCGTGGTGAATTAGCAACGAGATTTGCCACGAATAAATAGCGACGAATTTTGCCACGAATACAGTTCGTGGCAAATAGTGACGAATTTTGCCACGAATAATTAGCGACGATTTTTGCCACGAATAATTAGTCACGATTTTTGCCACGAATTCTTTTTTCGTGGCTAATTTAGCGACGAAAATTGCCACGAATAATTTGCCACAAATTTTTTTTTGTCACAATTTAGCGACGAAAATTGAAATTTTTTCATCACAAAAATTTGTAACGCCAAATTAGCCGCGAATTTTTTTTCGTGGTTAATTTCGTCGCAAATTCTTTTAGGCACGAATTTTTCTAAATTTTTCGTGGCAAAATTCGTGGCTAAAACCTTGTTTTTTATAGTGAAAGTAAACTTTCAATGCTATAAAATCAAAAAAGGAATCAATAATTTGCCTGTTGAAATAATCCAAGTAAGCTAGTTCTTAGGAAAAGTGCCAAAAAAGTCCTAAACCTTTTGCATTAGTGCCAATTTAGTCATAAACTTTTTTTTTGTGTCAATTCAGTCATAAACCTTTTGCATTGGTGCCAATTTAGTCCTAAACTTTTTTTTGGTGCCAATTCAATCCTAAACCTTTTTGCATATGTGCCAATTCAGTCCTAAACTTTTTGTCTTTATGCCAATTCAGTCCTTCTGGCCAATTTTGGCCTGGTTTTGCTGACGTGGATGTCGATCGGCCAGTGGCCAGTCACCGGCGCTGACGTGGACAACTTTAATAATATTTTAATTTTTTGAATTTTAATTAATTAATTTTTCTTTTCTTTTCTTTTTCCCCTCCCCTCCCTCCTTCCTCCGGCCGGTCGCCGGCCATCAGCGAGGTCGACCTCACCGGCCACCGGCGACGGCGAAGGCGAAGGCGAGCCTCGCTAGCAGTCTTTGGCGAGGGCTCGCACTTCCCCATGATTGGGCGAGGCCCGACTTTGCCGGATTTGGTGAGGTCAAGCCTCGCCGGCGGCTGCGCGAGGCCGCCCTCGCCAATGGCCGGCGTGGGCGAGCCTCGCCGGCGTAGGCCTCTGGTCGGTTGCCGGTTCTGCGACCGGCTAGAGGAAGGAGGGAGGGGAGGGGGAAAAAAAAAGAAAAGAAAAAAAAATATTCAAAAAATATTAAAATATTATTAAAGTTGTCCATGTCAGCCCCGGTGACCGGTCGGCGTCCACGTCAGCAAAATCCGGCCAAAATTGACCGGAAGGACTGAATTGGTACAAAAACAAAAGGTTTAGGACTAAATTGACACCAAAAAAAGGTTTAGGACTAAATTAGCACAAATGCAAAAGGTTTAGCACTTTTTTGGCATTTTTCCCGCCGGTTCCACCATCATTTGTTGGCATCATCATCAGGCAAAATCCCTGGTCAAAGATTTCAAAAATATTACCCGCGTCAAGAAAAAGATTGGCTCTATCAAAATGGAATGTCATCGTTGGGAATGTATAATTCCCAATAGGCACGTTATAACACAAGTCGAATTCTTGTTGACGAGCCTGAGGGAGCAACTGAAAATTGTCTCGGAAAAATCGAAATATCTCATTTCTCACTGCAGTATAGGCCGTTTGGACAAGCACAGTTAGAAAGCTTCCTGAGTCCAAAATAAACTCGCCCGTGCGGTCCGGTTTAATCTGAAAAATCTTTGAGCTTTTTGCCACACTGATGCTCATGACATTAATTGCATACCCCTTGACAGGAAGGAGACGTGTTGTCCAAACTCTTCCTCTAATTTGAGCTTCATCCCCAAAACGTAAGATTACGGTGCCGGCTGTTGAACGTTTTGGAGGTAGGCAGTAGGACATACGCATTTTAGTCTCATTTCTATACTGCCAAAGGATAGACCGCAGACGAGTGCCTAAGCCTAGAATTCCGGCTATGATGCTACTTTCTTCGTACTTTCCCAATGAAATTTGTGATTTTCGAGGCCACAACCGAATACGATGCCCGGGAATCTTTTAACAGCTTCTTTGTTGTTCGGGAAGCCAAAGGTATCCAACCCAATTGCCCCTTTGCTATAGCAATCAGAGGATCCACATCCAAAATAAGATGTTTTATACAGGCAAAAATTATTTTTGCATATTCTAGGAAAACAACGGGTATCATTGCAAGGTAAGGCTCAGTACGATGCTGATTCAAGTCTATTGAAGTTACCTTGCCTAATGTGGAAGCATTCGGTGCATCCTTCACATTGCATCCCTGTATCGTTATTACATGTATCGACCAACGAGTATGGAGCATAAGAATACGAGCCAACAGTCAAAGATGCTATAAAGTAACCAAGATTATCCATAGTAACTTTTGGTCGTAAGGTATAAGGTTCATATTCAGCTATTTGTTTACACTCTCCCAAATTCAAAGAAGTGGCTGATTCAAGTCGGTGGACACAAGCTCTAGATATTTTCGCGAGTCTTTGGTATCGTTCCTTATGGGTAAGGTTTTCAGGAAATAGAGTTTCGTCAACTTCATCTATTGGGATTAAGCTGATGCTAAAGCCATTGGTTTGGGACAGGATTTTGGCAATGAAAACACAAAAAACTAGGAATGCCATAAAGAGTCGCACGTGATGAAGTCATTTCTTTTGCTTTTGTTATCACTATGTGACTGTGTCTACTTCATAATGGATTATGTACTGTCACGCCCCGAACCCCGACAAGCGCGCGACACCTCAAACTTGGTCGAATCAGTGCGATGTCCCAGGAAATGTCGCCGACCCAAACCAACATATCATAGTCAAACACTGCGGAAACGAAAACATACACCCTGACAAAACAAAAATGGGGTAACAGGGAGAGATAATTCACCAAACCATCAACATTACATTACATCCACTATATTTACAGCATCCATACCGTCCTTCACAACTAGCAACTATCGCATCTACCACCGCCGATAACAAAACGGAACTGGCGGTTCGGGGGACTAATATTTACAACAAAAAGGGGCACCTCTAAAAAAAACGACAGTCCCACGTCTACTCCTAACTAACCCCTACGAACTCTAGTGGGGGGTCCACTCTGAGTCGGTCTCGTCGGTGTCAGTCTGATCCTTTGAAGACTCGGACTCAGCA